AGATTATTGGCATGAGAGGTTCTCTTTTGTCCAATAATACAGCTCGAACGATTTAATTGGATGAAATAAATCGGCACATCACTGAACATTCGGCCCATCACTGGTCGATCACGTTAGTGTTTTCATACCATGTGTCCTTGTGATCTGCATTTTTGGACCCCTCCCGCCAAGTACCATGAGTACAGGGACTCCTCCGAATACCAAGGGAACAAGACAGTGCCGGTATCCGGCCTAGAAATATTGATGGGCTAGGCCGAGGCGGTCCCACCAACTACTAGGAGCGCGGGCCTTTTGACTCTGCCTTGCGTAACTCCCCGAAATCGGTACAGTAATGCCAATTCGTACTCGCCAGGAAAGGTCACAAGCCGATATGTCCGGATGTTTATACGGATGTGAGGTACGTGGAACATTGGAAAATGGCATCATAAATATATGTCTTGGGAAAAAATGATCATGATCTATTCAGTGCTAATGAATCTCCACTCTATTCCATCTATTCCGAGTGTTTATGCACCAGTTGAACTTTAGCAATACACTTCCTGTTTGTATCTATATTTTAGGTTGTGCTATTGTACAGGTTAAGTCTAAGCACGTATCTTTATAAAATGATGCCTTGTAGAATCGAATAATCTATTGCAGAATCTGAATATAAATATTTGGAGGTCACTGTCATTTTGAATAATGTGAGATGTGATATGGCTTCGCAATTGACATGTCAACTAAAGTAATAACTCAGTTTGTTTTTTTCCTTTAATGTATATCACAGGTTATGTATTTGTCGACTACTCTTTGTACGTCACCGTGCATTCGTTCCTGCTTCTGTGCTGGAACTTGATGGTGCGCGCAGTGTCAACGTCGTCAATTAGATACGAACACATTACGTGGAAAGGTTAGTTCATATGTTTGTAGATGGAAGTATGATTGATTAGTTAGTGTTACTAGATGACGCCCTTGAGCTTCGCTATGGATTGATGAAGAACGACCAAGAGGGGCGACCCCAGCCATATTTAGCCAATCCGTCTAATCCTGCCATTTGCCCAATTTTGAGGTTGGATAATTAATCATACAATATATCCTTAATTTGTGTCGTGTAGCTTAGCTGTTTTACTGTTCACTCGTGGCGCACAACTGCATGAGTCCCCGATGCTCCTATTCGGGTACAATGCAAAGGAGCGGTTTCCGTCGTGGCTGACGAAGACATGCGCAGCCAATGAAGACGACATCACTTGGTTGGGACTGTCCATTTCGGATATTGGTACCCATTCGTTTCGCAAAGGCGTGGCAAGTGCCCTGTCAAATAGCACTGGCGGCCCACAAGCAGTCTTGGTATGGCTATGAGCTGGTTAGAGTCTCGGGGGGATCCAGGGACGATACATATTTGAAGGCTCTGGGGGAGATCAATTTGTTGGCAGAGCGGCAACTGGTACTTTATTAAATCAAATATTAAGTGATTTAGAATGTATCATTAAATTATATTTTAGGACTCAACGTAAATGATGTCGAATTTGGATCACTTCCACCGCACTTTGGTTCAACAATGGCGCTGAATCCATCGCAGAGGGAATCCATTTTACCCGTCAACGTTCCGTTCTGCCATACCGTACCTGCTCGCCTCATTGGTTCACCACCAACCGTGGTTGAAGAGCAAACTCCACCACAGCCACCCCTTGTTCCTGTCCCGTGTATGGCTGTCCGGGTCGCTCGCTCTCCTTGCCTCTGAGGTACTTGGTGGTACCTTGCACAACCCAGTGTCCAAGCTGAAGGCGATTGGCATCCCTCCGCACATTCCATTATACAACCACTTGAGGGCACTCGATTCCAACATGGTTGTGTTGGCCAATCGTGTCTACGAAGGGTTTAATGCTACCCCCCATCAACTACGCAATGTGATGGACGCAACAATCAGTAGCACAGCATCAGTGACCATGGACCAGCTACACAGTACGCTTGCTCAGTTTGGGGAGAGATTGTTGCAAAACATGGTGCAGCGAAATCCCTTGGGTACTACCTTAACTGACGGAATTACTCTGCCGCTGCTATCAACAACATTGAACACTGCTATCACATCAACCAATTGGCTACAACCGGCAAAAACCTCTCCCGAAAAGTACACGTGTCCAAACGGGAAAGTATATGACTTATGGAATTTATGGTGGTCCGGAAATGCTGGTACCGACACCCCGCCACTCCAAACGCTAAGATCAAAGGCCTTTGACACCCGGAAGGACAAAGCTCATTTCATCAAAGTCAAAAAGGTAGTCTCAACTATCTTGCCGTTTTACACAAACGACGAAGTTGCAGCAATCACCGTCCCGACAAAAACGCCGTCTTCGAGGCCAGTTTCGCGTCGCAGTGTGACCGGTTGTTCGCCAGTGCCGGCGCCACACCACTCGGCAATCGTCGCATCATCGAAATGAGCTATCATACAGTATTTGACGCCATCAATAAGCAATCAGCAATCGATGTTCACGTTCCGCCTTGTTATATTACCTGATGTCCGCCACACTTGAACGCCAACCTTGTTGTGGTGCATGCACGCTAGCCTATGTTGAATATACACATCAACGAGCATGGTTCTTGAGATCACAGTCAGTGATATGTGCCGTTGGTTCTTACCATTGACGGTGTCGGGACGTTGCATGCACCTGGCCTTTACTCGCCCGGACTTGAGAATTTCAGAAATGTCGTGCTAGTATCGTGCAAGTAATACTAGTAGTAGTCTCCTAGTATGAAACGTTTCGTATTTGTTTCGTGAACCACAAAGTAACAGTAGATACTGTGAAAATGAATGTTTCAGTGCTTGTTGGAAAGACCTGTGTTTCCTGTGCAATTATCAGTTTTCAAAAGCCGAAACCCAGCCAGTCCTCAGTTCCGGTCTGCTTCTATTTCCCGGCAGCGACTCCAAAATATGTCGCTTAAATTGGAAATCTACGTTAGATGAAATCGACCAAATGCAGAAAGGTGTTTGACATACCACTACAAGACCTCCCAAACATGGCGATGAGGTTAGACCACCTGTCGGGCACAGCACAACGTCGGAGCAGGACGCAAACGGCCTCGATTTTGGTGCGTGCCGTTCGTTCACGACAATCAACATCAGGTAACGCCAGACCGACAACAAGTCGTCCAATGTCCGTTTTGTTGGATCGGAACTTGTCCAAACAGTCGGCGTCATTGTAGCATGACAATGTAAACGAGGCATCTGGGATGGTCAGACGTTCGGCGGCTGCGGCACGCCCTCTCAAGATCACACGCAGTCGGGTGAGTAGCAAGGGCTGTCGTTCAGCAACGTCGAACAACAGTAGGGCAACACGTGTACGCATATCGACGACTGGTGATCGCCACCGCCAACTTCGTCAATCAACAACCATTTGTTTGGTAGTAATCATTAAGGCATCAAATTTTGACTTTCTGTGTTTGCCTAAGGTGTAATTTCAAATATACGTAACGTTATCAAATTCTTGGTGACGATTCGAACGTAGTTAATTTCGGGAATTTGATCAAATTGCAGGTTTGCTAAAGGTCTCTATTTCCCGGGGTTTACGCATCGCCGAACCCCTCAAGAAGATCAGAATCAAGCCTACCTCCTCTACGCTGTGAAATGACGCGCACCTCCACGCAGATGCAGAGTACGTACAAGGTGCGACGAACTCCTCGTGATAGTGGCCATTTTGCATAGCGACTTGATCCCGTTAGTGTTGCACGAAGAAAATCCTGTTAACCGTTGCGAATAAATTTGGGCAATTTTCCCCGGACAGAAGATAAGTTCAAACCACCGCAAGAAATCCTACTCCCACAGTTTTTGGACAAATATTAATTAAATGAAAATTTCGAATATGTTCCTACACCGACGCTATCGTCGGTGTAGGAACACTATTCGCAATAGGTTGTATCTCCCAGAGAGTATCTATATGGAGATTTGTGAGCAGAGCTCCAACGAATTCGTGCAAGACAACTATGCTTGATATTCCGTTCGAACTGCATCTGACACAAAAAGCATGGTTCGGAGCAGAACGCCACCGCGAGCGGACACTTGCAAAACCTCTCTATTCTCCACTACCACCGGCGCTCCCATGACGACTTTTGTTTCTCCGTTCAGTCCACCTATTTCCCTATCTATATATGCGTTGCTGACCTGTCGTTCTATGACATCAATGTGATTCCCCGGCCAGTCCACTCGCTTACCTTATACTATATCTCCGCGTTGTAGACACCTCGAACTATGACATGAATGCGTTATTCTTTGAACCATGTCACCTTCTCACACACACATACCATTCGATCATTGGTATAGATCCATGGGTTTAGACACGCATCACTTGCTCATCATGTGCAGGTGCACCAAGAAAGCACTAATGCACTGCTTGCAGGTCATCGTTTGGTATGTACCGATGAGACTACTGGGACCTTGCGCTTGCATATGTGTGGGTCAATGTTCGCAAAGTGGACCTGTTCATGAGCAGGCTGTGAATGCGAACTTGGTGTTGACTTCCCGCACAATCACTAGTGCCCTTGACTCTCGAAACCTTGGCCGTATCGGATGTTGATATTGTAGAAATTGTATCATCCTATGGATTGACTGGCTGTAGTGTAGTTCCAAGCGTCCTTACAAATGGCCATTTCCAGAGTAGGAATATAAAATCATGGGAGTGTTTCTAATAATTCTGGCGGTTCGAACTCTGCTTTTGTCAAACGTATGTTTTGTAGTGTAGGCATAGTCCACCTGTATCCAAGCACACGCCGCCACTGGACAGCTAGTCAAGGGCAGTGACCCCGTGACTACCGCCGTAGGGGAAGCAGGACAAGTTCTCTCATGCGAAGCAGTGGGCCGACTCGGCGAGTCGCGCGAACGATCCGCAGCGTGCCTTTGTTGCGCCCAGGGCGGACGCCTGGACAGCAGCAATGCGCACTAATATATTACTTAAACAATATATTGCAATTTATTGAGTTCAATCATTTATTGTTCCACTTCGCATATTGCAATTGTTAATTGATTTCCAGTATGTTATTGCCAAAAAATTATAATATTTGTACAAATATATCACCATATGTATTGCCAATAATCAAAGGTTGCATTGACTGTGAGTTTAGTGTACCAGCTCCCAGCGACGAGAATGCACATGCACAATAAGCACAACAAAGTGCTAAGCCCTCCCTTGATGGGAGACTTGGACATGGTTGCATGTACACCGTTGGAGGGTTGGTCAGGACTCTCACAGTTACACAGTAAATGGTGACACGGGTTGGGTGAGTGGTGTCAGTTGAAACACATGCTGGTACGTTTCAAGTTGAAACGTACCTGCGCCTCCCACCGCTTCAACTTGTTTGTTGGCGATGTACTGGCGGAACACGAAGAGTTGCTCGTGGCCGTCAACACAATCATGAAGAAACTGACCAACATCATCCCTTCGGCCAAGCTCCGGCGCCTTACCGACCTCCGACCCAAGCAGCGCAACCAGACACGCTGGAATTCCTCTGTGGCCATGTTGGATCGATATGTCAAGCTCAAGCCCTTTCTCCCCCTGATGGGGGTAGAAGAGATCGACAATCTGCTCCTCAGTGTCCGTCAAGAACGTGACATCGATGTCCTCCTGGCCAAGTTGATCGACCTGAACTCAGTGACACTCGAGCTTCAAGATGAAGCCATCACTCTGGCTGACGTCCGTGGCCTGTTTGACGAGGTTGTCGGTGAATTCCCAAGCGCGAACGAGCGCCTCCGCCCCGGTGCAAGTATCATCCAAGATCCACACTTTGAGGCTGGGGTCGTGAAGGTGCTTATGCACATGTCGCCGTCCCTCACCGACCAAGAACGACTGTCCATTGCCAGGCTCGCTGTGACTGCTGGTATGGGAGACGACGATCGAATGTCGGATGCTGATTGCATGTCGATGGCGTCTCGTGCAAAAAAGCGGCGCAAGATGCAGCAGTCTTGCAGCGGGTTCATGGACTGCCGGTTCCTCCGACCGACCTCGAACATGTGCGAGCGCCTGTTTTCAGTGACGAAATGGGCTTTGACGGACCGCCGTCAGAGTATGCTGCCGTCCAACTTCGAAGAACAAATGTTCCTTCATTGCAACGCCTTCCTTTGGGGTATCGACGACGTCAAGAGTGTCATGGAAGGAGTAGCACAGGATGAGTAGTCTACTTGTAGGAAGTTGTTTTGCATATTAATCACAAAAACTGCAGTTTGAGCTGAGCTCAAAAACGGTCTCCAAATCGCTTGGGGCGTTCTGTGGGCCGAGATACGTCGATTTTTGTGTTTTAGCCATGGATCTTCGAAACTCGTGACTGGAATTTTTTATTAAAAGTTCATTGCACTTCACTATAGAAACGCACGAAAGTCTCGAATTGTATACCCAATCATAATGCAGAAGAGTTTGGTTCAGCCAATTACCATTCGACGAAAAATGCACAAGCCTCTGGAAATAAATACTTTTCAGCGGGTAGGGTTTACTTTGAGTTGCCGCAAATGTATTGGAGGGAAGGTTTGCTACATTGATAATGAGAGGTTTTGTTTGAATTATTCGAATAAATTATTCATCCTGTGTGTTGGAATGAATTATTCATTCAGGGTGGTCTCGAATTGGAATAAGTAACCCTGAACCACACATACAACAAGTAAGTATAATTTATTGCTCGATCACTGGAATAAGTAAAAAATAGTATTTTCCCTACCTCTGGTTTCAACTGACAACACCACTCAACCCGACCCGTGCAAAATATAACATCGTGCAGTGTTCTCATATCATCATTTGCGTTGGACGCCTGGTTCGATCCCAAAGCCACCAACATCTTCATCTAGGTCAAGTGGCTTATCATGGACGAGCACAGTTCACCTTAGTGGAAAGTCAACTATTGCGGGAAAACTCAACGTCGAAGCCCATTTATGTCAAAACGGTAAAACGCTACTGTTTCAAGTAGGTGAAGGTCGTGGAACGACGTGTGTCGAGAGCTATGGCTGGCCGGCCGTACAGCATTGTGTTTGATGGGTGGTCCAACGACTCAACACATTTCCTCGGAATGATTGTCTGGCTCCCGAATGTGTGTAAAGTTGGTGGTGAACCGTCCATGTGGCTCCTTGCACTGGCTCCTATGCTTGACGAGACGAGTTTTGACGTCGCTACTCACTACGAGTTCATCCTGGAAACGTTAAACTGGTATGGACAATCAGACGCGAGCATCGAAAACAACCTTATCCGGCGCCACCTAGTGGCACTGACTAAGTTCAAGTCGATTACACTCGCCCTGCAATGGCGCGATGTGACTTTTTCGGAAGCGCGTCTTGTTTTTGATCGCATACGCCAGAAGTTCAATTGCCTGGATTCCCACGTGGCGCCCGACAGTAACATCGTCCACGACGAAGGGTTCGAATCTGCCATCGTGTGTCAGTCGTGCTTTCTCCTTCCATATGATTGGCTAATGCGGATTTTGTTGTTTTTTATCCCTCGTGATTCATTCGCTTCCATGCACACGGATTGGACATTTTTCGGCATGTTTTATACAATCCAAAATGTCTAGTCTTACATACGAAGCTGAGGAATTCCCCGGCAGCAGGGGGTCCCCTGCTGCAGGTCCAAAACTACCTGTTCTCGGGGAATTTGAATAACGCCGGATAAACATCGGGATACGTAAATTCTTGCACATTAGTTGCACAGATCAGTAGAGTAGAATTTCACACCAAGGGGATCCACAGCCACAGAATTTATCCGTACTTAACTTGAGCTTAACCGGTGTCGTTGTTGATCAATCACTTCGTTTTTTATCTTCACATGACATCGTTTGTTTCGCATAAGTATTTGCTCCTTGCAATGGAGATGCATTTCACGGAGGACACTGCCACCTCCGACGACTACATTGTCGGTAGCGTGATCAACAATGTGAAGGTTCATGATTTTGGAAGTTTCGTGTTGCTGCGTGAGAGATTAAATGCATTTTCTTTGAAACAAGGCTTTCGTGTAGCACATAAGTATCGTAACAAAATCACTGGAAAGTGGGTTTGTTGTAACGAGGATTGTGATTTTGCAGTTCGAGCGTCAATGCGTGTGGACAAGTCTGTTTCTATAACTACCATAAACTTGTTGCACAACCACCCCCTTTTCCAAGCCTCGGATGCGAGTCGCCACCCCAGTATGACGAAGTCTGTGGTGAG